AACATTGCTTCGTAGGTTTAGACGCCAATGTCTATTATGTATGCATTAGACCTAATACTTATAACCACGTAAAAATGTATTCATTAACTGAGCAAGTCGTCTCCGGAGAATGTAACTTATACGCGAATCGGTGTTCTAAATCTTATCAATATTAATATCGATACATGTTATGGATGTAAGCGAATAAGATATTTATTAATTTATATAAAGATATCTTTAACATTTTATAGTATTATATTTTTTCTCAATACGAGTTAATGTACTGTGATTTTTCGCCACAATTTGGCCTATAGATCCGCATATTCGTTTCAAATACAAAGCGAAAGTAGAAAAAAATAATGACGATACTCGATAGACGGTAGTGAATCGAAGATGAACTCATGAAGATAATTCCATGTGTACATGTATGATATCTTTTGTACCCATTTAGCAGTGTTTATTATAATTATTATCATAATAATGATGAGCAATAGTAAAATGTTTTTACATATATTTTTATAATAAAAAACAGAGTGAATGCTGTAGCAGTATCATGCAACAGATCACTAGATGAAACAAAAAAGAAAATACAGGATAGTTTGTCCAGTGTGAAAAAGAAGGAGGCTTTCCGGAAGAGAGAAGCATCAAAAACAGGTGGTGGACCCTGTACAGAAATAATTTTTAAGCCATGGGAGGTGTCTGTGAGTATTTGGTAGTGGGTTAAAAGTTACTGAAACATTTTAAAGTTAAAGTAAAGTGAGTAAATAAAAATTATATTTAATCATACATACACAAGGTGATAAAGCGATTGAGAGGTTCTGAGAAAGTATATTTGAATTCTTTTTTCTAGTGATGTTTTTTTTTATTATATCAAAAAAGTAATATTGTAGTCACTTCATTATTATCATGATTATTTATATGTTTTGTATGCAAACAAATTAAAGCTTACATATTTATATGTACTTTGAATCTTTAGCTTCTTGGTACTATTCCAACAGAGATGATACATGGATTAGAAGGGGCAGTAGATACTAAATCAGATGCAGATCAAGGTAATCCCACATAACGTACTTTAGTATACACACATGTACAAATGGAAATCACTGTAGGATTTGATATTTTAAGATTTTAAAGGTAAGGCCACACCAATTTAATTTTTTGTTTGTTTCATTTGATAAAGAAAGTACGAGCGGGCTAGCGGTTAAATAATAATCTTATTACTTTTTTGTAGGCAAGATTTTTAGGTGGGGCATGAAAAAATTTGAGCGGACAATTGTATTTTTTCTGATTTGCAGAGTAAGTAGATTAAAAGTACGATAAATAGAGCGGAAATATACAAAAAACAGCACAGAATTCCCATGGTGCGGGGATTTTAAATGAATATTATTTGTATAATTTTGTTTAATACAAGCATGCAGGTCCGATAAACATTTTTTTTTATTGGTGTGGCCTAATGACTGAATCTTAGCTGCAGAACTGTAGCTCTCAATCTGCTTGAGAAAATTTGGACACATAAAGTAGAGAGCTACAGATCCAAGGCAAGCGTTATAAAAACCTTCCATTTTATACGCTGATGATTATTTGTCGCTACTGTAGGCTTTTATTTCGTGTAGTTTAATCTTTCTCTGACTATTAGATTGGTATCCTATAATTAATCATATATTTAACTATTACCCTTGATACTTTATATTAGGGATGGGTATCGCCAAAAATTTCGGATCGCGATATATCACGATTTTTCCCACAATATCACGATAATATCATGATATTTCTAAAAGCAGATTTTACAATGATTTTATATGAAAAGTCATTATTTTTCTAAACAATTTGCTTGAAAAACAAAATTTTATTTTCTTGAAATATTTATGTATATAAAATCAACTCTGTTTGGGCGGTAAGCTGCCGTTCTTTTCACGTTTTACAACATTTTTATACTTTCTGTAATTGTAATTTGAAAAGATTAAACAAATAAATGAATAATTTCTGGACTTCATAATATGTTCTTAAATACCGATATTTAGGTCTCCGTATCACGATACGTATCACGCAACAAAAAATCGCGATATACCGGTATACCGATAAAATCGCACATCCCTACTTTATATACTTTTTAGCGGTCTTAAACATATGCAAGCAAAATATCTGAAGTGAGCGACTAAGCTTCAGCGATAATCGAAGGATTTTACAATGCTTCGATCTGTAGCTCTATGCTTAATCTGTCCAAATTTTCTCAAGCAGAGAAATACACTTCTGCAGCTACATGAATCTCAGACATTTACTTTTCATAAATTAAATGCATATACAAAGAACTTTATATGTATGATAAAATTGCTTTATGATTGGAAATCTAGCTGTAAAATTTTGTAAGCATGATACATGTACTGATTTATACTCTTTTTTTATATCTGATGAACAGGTCAAACAAAGGGGAAATTGGATTTGAATTGTGATTTGAATTGTCCAGGAGCAACTGGAGATTGCAGTGCAACATCTAACAATGTTTCAGGTCAAAGGAATATATATTAATACATTTTGTTTATGGTAATCTGGTTTAGTCATTGAGTTGATTTTATAATCAAAATTCACATTTTTTGAGCCCCCTTCATGAAATTCCCCTTTCCGTCTATCATTATGATGGTCTGTTATTCCTTCATTGCTGTAGCTTACCTCAAACTTTTTAAGCAAATTAAATGTGGAGTGTAAATATATTTATTTCAACTAGTATGCACTTAGAAAATATTCATCATTTAAGAAAAAAATTAAAATTTAATTGGAATTATTCTTACATATGAAAGACATTTTCTTTTATTTTATTTACATACACTGTATGTGCTATCTAATATCATCAAGATTTTTAAATTTTAGAATGTGTGGTTGACATACATGTAACTTCTGAAGAGCCCTCAATTCCATGTACTGGTATGTATGCATCTATACTTGATATCTGACACTTTTCATTCATTATTCATAGCTCACCTGAGCAGAAAGCTCAAGTGAGCTTTTCTGATCACATTTTGTCGCTGCCAAAATCATCGAATATTTGTTGACGTTACCAAATCGAATAAGTCTAGAGTTGTTCCAAATCTGACCTCTGACGTGACCCTCTATGGGATGTTGTTAGATGTTAGTGTAGCGAGTATGCAAGCCGATCTAACATCTAATTTTAATTAGATTGGGGCCATAGTGGCCGGTCAAAGTTTTACATACAAACATATAGGGAATTTTTTTTCAATTCGTCTTTTTAAGAATAGCAAATGCATGAAGGATCTTATTTATATGGAAACATCCTCAGGTAACGTAGATTCAGTGTTGTTCAAATCATGACCCATTAATCCTTGACCTTCATGTTTGACCTAATTTTCAAAATTTTTCACCTTGATGATTAATTTTGGTGGTTTTAGCACCACCCCTCTGGCCCCAGGAGGGACGAAAACAGATAGCAATAGGTCACCAAACTTTACTCAGGTGTCCTAAAAATTTTAGCTTTAAATTTAAATGATTGAAATGCTTTTAAGCAATGTATTCTTTTGTCATTAGTGTTACTTGGATGTTTTCTTTTAAGATAAAAAATTTACCAAATGTCTTTTACATCTGTTTTCATAAATTTACATTTCAGCTTTGCCATCACAAACGTGCAAGAGTAAAAAGAGTCTGGAACCAGTAGGAAAAAAGAGGACTGGAGAATATGGTAACAGTTAAAAGAATTTCCATCATTAATAAAAACAAGACATCAAAATTCAACCTTGTGAAATTTCTATCTAGTTAAATTCATGAAACAAATGACAAATGGTTTCTGAAGAAAAATTCAAGGTAGATTTAAAACATGCATGTGTAGAGAATGATACTCAAATGGTCAACTTTTAATAACCTCCAAGGAAATGACATTGTAAGCTAAGGAATTTGCAGTCTCAATTTATTGAGTTTCAACCGGTAAACTTTTTTAGTACTGACATCAATCTAATGGATTTATTGAAACGTTTTTCCACCAACTGAACTTTTTTTCAACATGCCCTTTTTTGCAGATAATGGGATGAAAGAACTTGTTGAATTGAAAAAGAGAAGATTGGATGTTGAGGAAAGGAAGGCTCAGGCACTGGAGAGAATTGTAACAATATTAGAGGGATGGCAGAATTTAGACTCTGGACTGTCAGTTCCTCCAGTTATTGAATTTTAGCTTAAAATGAACTTCATTTGATTACACTCTGTATATTTTGTCTGAATAGATAAATACTTCTCTGTAAAAAATGCTTAAAAATACTGTATTTCTCTTCTAGGGTAACAGATAGTAATATATAAAATTATAAGATTATAGATAGTATTCATATATTATTTATTGTTACTACAATTTATTAAAAAATAAATTACGAAATCAAAATACAACAGGTTCTTCATTATTTCAGCTTGTCCTCCTATCTACAAAATAAAAATATATTTAATTAAATATTGCGTATGAAATGAAAGTTACTTAAATTGAAAAAAAGTCTATGGCAAATGAATTTTCCTCTAATAGTTATGAATTTAAACTAATTACAGTTTTCGCAAATACCTATGACATCATAGGAGGGTGAAATTACCTTAAATTTACTTAAAATCTTGATGCAATGTGTTGTCTCAGGTCTCTGGCTGACCGCGGAGGTGCTCCTCCATGAACATACATGTGTTGTTGTAAAACAACACGACCACCTTGTTGGAGGGGGATTCTCTCTTCAATTGCCTTGTTGTGGAGCCGGCAACATGTCTCGATGATAATTGCACATTTGGTTGGTTTGAAAGGCAAACATCCTCCACTTTTGTGAAGACATCTGCAAAATTTGCATGATTTGATTAATCAAATCCTCAGTGTCCTAATTATGAAGGCTGATTTATGATATCAGTATGTTTTACATGTATATACATGTATTGTTCAATGTTCATAATGTTCAGTAGATGATGACCATGAGCACTCATGTAAACTTATGATACCTGTACAACTTTTTTGTTACAAATCATACTTAATAGAAAATAATTATGATGTTTTGAAATCATATCACATGCCTGAATCTGGATTTGAGCACGCCAAATGCCCTTTCTACAACATTTCTGGTCTGGCAGTGAGCACGATTATATCTTTCCTCCGTTGGAGTGGAAGGGTTATTGAAGGGTGTCATAAGAAAATCTTTCAACGGATAACCAGAGTCACCCAGCAGCCAACCACCCTCTGGCAAATTAGCCATGATGTCCGGAATGGTGGAGTTTGACATGATGTATGCATCATGCGCACTGCCTGGGAATCGGCAATTGATGTTGAGAAATCTAAAATAAAAGTATAATCATTATGACATTGTGTGATCGTAAAGAAAATTCAGCAAGAAGAGAAACAAAATGTTCTCCATTTTAAAGGTACTTAGACACAGATTTGAAGTTAATATTTTCTCATTTTTTCTGTATAATATCACGAATTATATATTTTGATAGCATTTCACACAAAAATTGATTAACAATCTTATTTCGATTAAAAGTTATTAAAACTTTAAATTTTTTGGCGGGTTTGATTGACACATCTTTGCACTTTCACAAATTTTAACTTTATTCTTAATCCTTAGGAAAAGTGGTAATTATGTTCCCCAAACGAAGTTTGGGAACATATTGTTTTTACTTTTTCTGAATTTTTTCTTTGTTCTCCGGTACTTTTTTGTCCGCGAGTGTTCTCGTAAACTACTCATCCGATCTAGGTGAAACCTTTTTAGGGTCACTAGGTATGTTATGTAGATGTGCGGAACGAAGGTCATTTTGCGCGCACGTGCGTGCAGGTGCGCGCACGTGTAACACGTGAAATGACCAATATAATAGATTTAGCCGTAACTTTTTAAATATTGGATGAAATGCTTTGAAACTCATAATATAAGGATATAATAGTAGTATAGACATGATGACATGGTCAAAATAGCAAGATCTCACGCGCATGCAGGTGCCCTTCGCTGCGATTGGCTGAAACTTAAAGTCTAAATATCTATTTTTTTTTCTGACAAAATCCTTTGAAATTTTGAATATAGTCTTACATTATGAAGATCTACAGCATGATATATAAGAATAATCATGAACGCACGCACATGCACGTGTGCTGCAATCTGATTGGCTAAAACTTTAAATGCCTACAACTTTCTTGGTTCTCAATAATACAGGGTGAAATTTCAAATATGAATAGATATAATGATTGCCTACTACTATCAAAAGTAAATACATGGACGTGCATGCACATGCGACAGCACACAATGTATTAAAAGACAGTATACTTGAGTGATTGATGTTCGTGCAGAATTCAAAATATGTAACATACTGAAGCATGCAGATCTTTTTACCCTTGACCTTGAAACTTAGGTCAAGGTCACTGGTAACCTGAATAAAATGTTGATATTAACTATTTACCAAAATCACCTTGACCTATGAACTTGAAATCGACCTTAACCTTTGTCCTTGACCCAAGGGTAAAAAGAAACATGAAGTACATGTACATGTATCTAGAAACACCTTTCAGAGTTTATTTCGGTTGACAGGTTAGAAGTTAAAGAGGTGGTGGTTTTTAATGACCTTGACCTTTCATCCAAAAGTCACAATCAATCTTAAGTTCTTGGAATAAGATACAAGATTCAACTCCAACGTTAAATAGGTTAAGAATAAAAATAACCAACCACCACCCCCCCCCCCCCCCACACACACAAACAAATCAAATTAATGGCAACGTAGAGAATCATTGTTAAACTCAAATAACACCTCGGACCCACATAAAATTTCAGGAAAACTGCAGAAAAGAGCTCGAGGAAAGTGTATTAAAATATTTCATTTGAGTTTCCAAAGTATATAGAAATTATTAATTTATACAGAAAAAATTACAAATCCTGTCGTGTTTAAAATTAAAGTGCAGATGACCAAAGTTGGCATATAAGCCTTTTATAGCCTATTTATTCAGATGTCGTTAATAGCATTCGATTCTACTGATTTGAAATAATATTTTAATACCAAGCATCCTTTGTTAAATTTACCTTTGAAATTTATTTGAATTTTTTAGAATTATGCAATCCCCAGAAATAGCGATTTTCGGTATATTAAAAAAGCAATATACATGTACGCTCCTTCGTAAAATAATCAGATATTTGCATTCATAAAAAAATATTAATAAGAAGGTGTTAAACAATATAGGTCACATATGCTGACACGAATGTCTTTTTAAACATCTCTTGTAAAACCCAGAGAGTAGCCCCCTATGCATTGGAAAAAATGAATAGTTCCGGTCAAAAAACCTTTATATATTTATTTACAAAGTATATAAAATTTACCAGGCACAGGTATCAGAGTTGTCAAAATGGCCTGAGAGGAAATATCAAAAAAAATTCTGAACAGAAAGGAAAATCCCTTTTCCATGTATGGAACTACTATTGAATATAACCAACCCCGAGCCCGATCTTAAAAACACGGTAGTAGAAAATTAGAATTTCGCTGTTTTATTAATTTTTTTGCTTTTAACTTCTTTTCTTGAAGCCAAATGATATGAAAACACTCAAAAAGGTGAAAAGACTTCATATTGTTATCTGAATTAAAGTCAAAATTGTAATCTGAACAATTAGTCTCCTTATTATGTTCCCCAAACGAAGTTTGGGAACATATTGTTTTTACTTTTTCTGAATTTTTTCTTTGTTCTCCGGTACTTTTTTGTCCGCGAGTGTTCTCGTAAACTACTCATCCGATCTAGGTGAAACCTTTTTAGGGTCACTAGGTATGTTATGTAGATGTGCGGAACGAAGGTCATTTTGCGCGCACGTGCGTGCAGGTGCGCGCACGTGTAACACGTGAAATGACCAATATAATAGATTTAGCCGTAACTTTTTAAATATTGGATGAAATGCTTTGAAACTCATAATATAAGGATATAATAGTAGTATAGACATGATGACATGGTCAAAATAGCAAGATCTCACGCGCATGCAGGTGCCCTTCGCTGCGATTGGCTGAAACTTAAAGTCTAAATATCTATTTTTTTTTCTGACAAAATCCTTTGAAATTTTGAATATAGTCTTACATTATGAAGATCTACAGCATGATATATAAGAATAATCATGAACGCACGCACATGCACGTGTGCTGCAATCTGATTGGCTAAAACTTTAAATGCCTACAACTTTCTTGGTTCTCAATAATACAGGGTGAAATTTCAAATATGAATAGATATAATGATTGCCTACTACTATCAAAAGTAAATACATGGACGTGCATGCACATGCGACAGCACACAATGTATTAAAAGACAGTATACTTGAGTGATTGATGTTCGTGCAGAATTCAAAATATGTAACATACTGAAGCATGCAGATCTTTTTACCCTTGACCTTGAAACTTAGGTCAAGGTCACTGGTAACCTGAATAAAATGTTGATATTAACTATTTACCAAAATCACCTTGACCTATGAACTTGAAATCGACCTTAACCTTTGTCCTTGACCCAAGGGTAAAAAGAAACATGAAGTACATGTACATGTATCTAGAAACACCTTTCAGAGTTTATTTCGGTTGACAGGTTAGAAGTTAAAGAGGTGGTGGTTTTTAATGACCTTGACCTTTCATCCAAAAGTCACAATCAATCTTAAGTTCTTGGAATAAGATACAAGATTCAACTCCAACGTTAAATAGGTTAAGAATAAAAATAACCAACCACTCCCCCCCCCCCCCCACACACACAAATAAATCAAATTAATGGCAACGTAGAGAATCATTGTTAAACTCAAATAACACCTCGGACCCACATAAAATTTCAGGAAAACTGCAGAAAAGAGCTCGAGGAAAGTGTATTAAAATATTTCATTTGAGTTTCCAAAGTATATAGAAATTATTAATTTATACAGAAAAAATTACAAATCCTGTCGTGTTTAAAATTAAAGTGCAGATGACCAAAGTTGGCATATAAGCCTTTTATAGCCTATTTATTCAGATGTCGTTAATAGCATTCGATTCTACTGATTTGAAATAATATTTTAATACCAAGCATCCTTTGTTAAATTTACCTTTGAAATTTATTTGAATTTTTTAGAATTATGCAATCCCCAGAAATAGCGATTTTCGGTATATTAAAAAAGCAATATACATGTACGCTCCTTCGTAAAATAATCAGATATTTGCATTCATAAAAAAATATTAATAAGAAGGTGTTAAACAATATAGGTCACATATGCTGACACGAATGTCTTTTTAAACATCTCTTGTAAAACCCAGAGAGTAGCCCCCTATGCATTGGAAAAAATGAATAGTTCCGGTCAAAAAACCTTTATATATTTATTTACAAAGTATATAAAATTTACCAGGCACAGGTATCAGAGTTGTCAAAATGGCCTGAGAGGAAATATCAAAAAAAATTCTGAACAGAAAGGAAAATCCCTTTTCCATGTATGGAACTACTATTGAATATAACCAACCCCGAGCCCGATCTTAAAAACACGGTAGTAGAAAATTAGAATTTCGCTGTTTTATTAATTTTTTTGCTTTTAACTTCTTTTCTTGAAGCCAAATGATATGAAAACACTCAAAAAGGTGAAAAGACTTCATATTGTTATCTGAATTAAAGTCAAAATTGTAATCTGAACAATTAGTCTCCTTATTATGTTCCCCAAACGAAGTTTGGGAACATATTGTTTTTACTTTTTCTGAATTTTTTCTTTGTTCTCCGGTACTTTTTTGTCCGCGAGTGTTCTCGTAAACTACTCATCCGATCTAGGTGAAACCTTTTTAGGGTCACTAGGTATGTTATGTAGATGTGCGGAACGAAGGTCATTTTGCGCGCACGTGCGTGCAGGTGCGCGCACGTGTAACACGTGAAATGACCAATATAATAGATTTAGCCGTAACTTTTTAAATATTGGATGAAATGCTTTGAAACTCATAATATAAGGATATAATAGTAGTATAGACATGATGACATGGTCAAAATAGCAAGATCTCACGCGCATGCAGGTGCCCTTCGCTGCGATTGGCTGAAACTTAAAGTCTAAATATCTATTTTTTTTTCTGACAAAATCCTTTGAAATTTTGAACATAGTCTTACATTATGAAGATCTACAGCATGATATATAAGAATAATCATGAACGCACGCACATGCACGTGTGCTGCAATCTGATTGGCTAAAACTTTAAATGCCTACAACTTTCTTGGTTCTCAATAATACAGGGTGAAATTTCAAATATGAATAGATATAATGATTGCCTACTACTATCAAAAGTAAATACATGGACGTGCATGCACATGCGACAGCACACAATGTATTAAAAGACAGTATACTTGAGTGATTGATGTTCGTGCAGAATTCAAAATATGTAACAAACTGAAGCATGCAGATCTTTTTACCCTTGACCTTGAAACTTAGGTCAAGGTCACTGGTAACCTGAATAAAATGTTGATATTAACTATTTACCAAAATCACCTTGACCTATGAACTTGAAATCGACCTTAACCTTTGTCCTTGACCCAAGGGTAAAAAGAAACATGAAGTACATGTACATGTATCTAGAAACACCTTTCAGAGTTTATTTCGGTTGACAGGTTAGAAGTTAAAGAGGTGGTGGTTTTTAATGACCTTGACCTTTCATCCAAAAGTCACAATCAATCTTAAGTTCTTGGAATAAGATACAAGATTCAACTCCAACGTTAAATAGGTTAAGAATAAAAATAACCAACCACTCCCCCCCCCACCCCCCCCCCCCCCCACACACACAAATAAATCAAATTAATGGCAACGTAGAGAATCACTGTTAAACTCAAATAACACCTCGGACCCACATAAAATTTCAGGAAAACTGCAGAAAAGAGCTCGAGGAAAGTGTATTAAAATATTTCATTTGAGTTTCCAAAGTATATAGAAATTATTAATTTATACAGAAAAAATTACAAATCCTGTCGTGTTTAAAATTAAAGTGCAGATGACCAAAGTTGGCATATAAGCCTTTTATAGCCTATTTATTCAGATGTCATTAATAGCATTCGATTCTACTGATTTGAAATAATATTTTAATACCAAGCATCCTTTGTTAAATTTACCTTTGAAATTTATTTGAATTTTTTAGAATTACGCAATCCCCAGAAATAGCGATTTTCGGTATATTAAAAAAGCAATATACATGTACGCTCCTTCGTAAAATAATCAGATATTTGCATTCATAAAAAAATATTAATAAGAAGGTGTTAAACAATATAGGTCACATATGCTGACACGAATGTCTTTTTAAACATCTCTTGTAAAACCCAGAGAGTAGCCCCCTATGCATTGGAAAAAATGAATAGTTCCGGTCAAAAAACCTTTATATATTTATTTACAAAGTATATAAAATTTACCAGGCACAGGTATCAGAGTTGTCAAAATGGCCTGAGAGGAAATATCAAAAAAAATTCTGAACAGAAAGGAAAATCCCTTTTCCATGTATGGAACTACTATTGAATAAGTTCATTTTGATTGGTTAGGTATTGGCGTGATACCCTTAGTCGACTTTAACCCTGCCTTGTCGTCGGAATAAAACCAACTTTGAGCCCGAGGTTAAAATAAGTAGCGAAATAAAATGTGAATCGATATATTAAAAACATGACATATGCTTGAAAAATGGTAAATTTATATGTGTATTTTTTTCTTTGATTCGCGGGATAGAAAGATATGTTAATCGCTTAATCAACATGCCATAATCATCTTGCATATGCATGTACATGTACGTGTGCGCGCATGCAAAACGTTAAACAATATATCGTTGATAGTTGATATCATTGTAACTTTTATATTCTTAAATGAAATCTTTGGATACTTAGCATATTTATAAAAGGTCTTAGAGGAATAAGGCACGATAAGGGACATGGGGAGCGTTTGGGGAACATCAGTAACGGTCCCCGTTACAATTAGCACTAGTTTGGATGTGTTTTAATGAGAAATATTAAAACTTTTATCAATCAAAATATTTTTTTCAGAGTAGAAATGTTAGAAAGCAAAACACCTTCACAAGTATCGTCATTCCGAACTAAGAGATGCGTGCAGAGTTTAGCAAATCGAGCACACTCGTGTTATGTACACAGTTTTTGTAAACAGGGCTCGAGTTCTGTTATTGTTTATATTTAGAATTCACCGGGTGCGTTCAATCGTCACAGTCTGCTTACCACAACTGCACGGACTGACAATATATTGTGGGTTTCTTTTGCTTTCGAACGTGTCTACTCTGAATTTTCTGGATTAAAGTATTAATGTTTTTCATTTATACAAAACGAGATTGCCACTTTTCCTAAGGATTAAGAATAAAATTAAATTTGTGAGAGTGCAACGATATGTCAATCAAACCCGCCGAAAAATTTGAAATTTCAATATCTTTTAAACGAAATAAGATTTTTAATTAATTTTTGTGTGAAATGCTATTCAAATATATAAGTCGTAATGTTATAAAGAAAATAATAACTTCAAATCTGTGTCCAAGTACCTTTAAAGTATGTTATAACTTTTGTAAGTGGACTGCATTGTACAAATTTGCAAAAAATATTTGAGCAGACCTCATCTCTGCGTCCACAACCCCTTGGATATTAAGGGCATGAAAGTTTTTTCTCGATACATATATGTGTTCATCCTCGGTACTCATCCCTTTGATGGGGATAAGGGTCCCGTCAATGGCCCCTACCACGTTGGGGAAACGGGCGATGCTGTGGAATTCGTCTTTTATTTTCCATAAAGAGTGCACTGAAGATGGGAATTTAATGTTCTGCAAGTGCTCACAAAGGGCTTGGCACACCCTTGGTAAACATACTGAAACGGACGATTTGGAAACTCCGTGAACATCTCCAACTTCCGAAAAGAAATCAGCTTTTGCAATGTAACGCAACGTACATAGGACCTGAAAAGGAACAATGAGAATATTTTTTTTTTAAATTACAGGTCACACTTTTCATCATATACGAAGTTAAAAGCTTCTGTTTTTTTTGGAGGATAGTTAGAACTCGGTTTATGTAACTTTTAAATTATGTTTTCATTCTTATGTAAATTATGAAATTGTGTTGATAAAATAAAGTTATATAACCATATTAAATTAAAAAAAACTATTTCAAGCGTCTGTGTTAATTGAATTTTCAATTTTGTTGAATTAATTATTTTCCCGCTAAAACTCTATTACGAGCTCGAGTTTGGCGCAGAAGACTGGTGCACTGAAAAAAAAAACTAGTAAATTTACTGGTCATACAACCACTGCCTTTTAAGTAGTTTTACTAGGTATTTACTAGGTATTGAGTATTGACTATTTTAAATACGAACTAAGGAGAAAGAATTTAGATATTTCAATTCAAGATTGGTTATATATTACCCGGTATTTGGGGAACACGAACACATGTACATGTATAACTAATGTATTGTGTTTTGATTTTTTGCAGGACTGTATGTACATGTAGGCATGAATTACATGTTTATCCTTTTATTTAATATGATATACAATTATAAATATCATATGGACGATGAATACTACATATACCTGTCATTGGCGTTGGAAGCAAATTAAAAGGAGGGGGGGGGGCTAAGTGTAAGAAGAAAAAATTAGCCCTAAAAAACCATGAAAAAAGGAAATGTCCTTTGCCCGAACACGAAATTATCTTTTGTGTCGTGTGTGTGAGGGTGTGTGTGTGTGGGGGGGGTATATTACTTTAAGATAATATTCACAGTCGAGGTTTACATGTGAAAGAGAAAAAAATATGTACATTCGAGAGCCCCCCCCCCCCCCCCCAAAAAAAAACAAACAAACAAAAAACCAAGTAATATGATCTTAACTTCAATGTAGTTTAATTTTTGTGCTAGGGTTGTGAGCTTCCACTTTACCCTCCATCCGACCCCTATCAAAATGTTTGCCGTTTTCGTACATTTCGACTCCGTCAAAAAATAATAATTCAAAATACTGGAACCACTTAGTTTAGGTTGTCTGAGCATTTAACAAAATTAATGTAACCGAAAATTAAAAAAACAAACACTACATAGTACTTAACAAGATATGTGTACGTCACTACATGTATGTGTTGTGTATGAATAAATGCTCTTTCTAAAAGAATTTTGTTTACCCCCCAAAACACACAACAAACAAACAGGGGTTTTATTTATACCTTAATTTTTAACACCATAAAGAACTGTTTTCTTTCTTCATGATTTCCTTTAAGTACATACTGTAGGGTAACAAAATTAAGATATTTACAAGTATAATTTTATTATCTGTCTACTTTTACCGGATTCTTATTTTCCTGACCTAACGGTTTATCGTTTAGAAACTCCCGTTGCCACAGGATGTGACACGGATACTTTCAGTTTCAATGTTTATATTACCTGCAGCTGAGTGGGGATGGCATGTGATCTTTCTGTATATGGCCGAAGTTGCTCATCTACCCCATCGATCAAATCGAAAATTATCCTTCGAGGGAAACGGTACCTAGAAATGAGCTCCGAGTCGTCGAAAGAATCCAATGGCTGGCTTCTATCTCGGAAAACACGCTGTTTGCGCAAAGAACGCTGCATAAATAATATAGTCGCCATTTTTATTTAGAAGTTGAAAACGCTAAGTGATTTCTTACGGCTGCTATGGAGCAGACGTAGATTTTCACGTAAATCTACGTCAAATCGTAAGACACGATCTTTAGTAAAACGCAAAATCGACGTAAGTTACGTCTACGTCTACGTTTACGCCTACGTTTTAACTTACGACCTTTAGTAAAACTGCCAGCAGATTGCTTAATCTTTGATGCTTTATATCTCGAAAGGGAGAAATATTTTGTTAAGCAATATTGAACAAAAGTTGTTCAAAATAATGTTCTGAACAGTATGCAACCTTTCATTTTTTGCTAAACGTCCTTATTAAGGAGTTGAAGGGTTGGCCCCTAAATATTTCTTTTGCTAATAGCTCAAAAACGAAAAAGAATTTCTGAACAGTTGTTGAACACTAAATGTTCAAAATCTTAAGATCTTTAAGATGAGATCCCGAAAAAGGGGCTGGGCACTCAAATTAGGGGCCAAGAGGGGCCAAAAGTCTTCAATCGATGACTCTTTATCAGTTAATATTTTGTAATACATTACTTAAGCAAAGATGTTTATCTCAACCATCTACAACTTTATATTATAGTTTTTATGTCGTATGGTACATAATTAGGGGCCACAAGGGGCCAGAATGCAAAATCTTTGATGCTTTATATCTTGAAAGGGAGAAATATTTTGATAAGCAATATTGAACAAAAGATGTTCAAAATAATGTTCTGAACAATATGCAACCTTTTATTTTTTGCTTAACGTTCCCATTAAGGAGTTGAAGGGTTGGCCCCTTAAATATTTCTTTTGCTAATATCTCAAAAACGAAAAAGAATTTCTGAATAGTTGTTGAACACAAAATGTTCAAAATCTTAAGAGCTTTAAGATGATTTGAATAAAAAGGGCTGATTCCTTAAATTAGGGGCCGTCAGGGGCCAAAAGCCGATTTTTTAAGTCTTTAATGTTCAATGTCTTTTTACAGATTGTGGTAAATCTTTATTTTAGAATGAAAATCGCAATCAAAATCTTTTCTTATCTCATCAAGAATTGGACGGAAGACCCACTCGTTGCTCGCAACGAGATCGTATCTAGTTATTATTATTATTATTATTTTTATTCTTTTTTCTTCTTACAAAATTTGTGCAGAAGATTTCTCGGAGATGGCTCGTTCGATTTGCTTCAAATTTTCACAGTCGACGCGTTGTCATCTGAAGTTAATTCCGGCAAATCATTTTTTTCAAATTCACTTCCGGTCGGGAGTTATCGCCCTTTGATCGAAATTTAGAGGACCTCCTTGTCTGTGATGGAACTCAAAAACGGCTCAAGCTAGAGAGCTGAAATTTTTAGTGATGATAGAGGACATGTTGCCATGTTGCACCTGGGTCAGGATATTTTCCGGAAGTGCCTAGTATGGAAGCTCGGTAGGGGTCAAAATTTAGGACACGTTTTATGAGTGATTTTTTGAGACATTTTGTATCATATCTTTTAAAATATAAATATTTTGTTAAAATATACTGAACAACATTTGTGCAAAATACAAAGATCTTTAATATGATATCAAGAAAAATGTGCTGACTCATCAAATTAGGGGCTGAAAGGGGCCAACAGTTTTTATTCAATAACTCTTTTAAAGTCAATATTTTGTTATACATTACTGAAGCAAAAATGTTCATCTCAACAATGTACAACTATATATTACAATTTTTATGTCGTATGGTACATAATTAGGGGCCACAGGGGACCAGAATGCTAAATCTTTGACGCTTTATATCTCGAAAGAGAGAAATATTTTGATAAGTAATATTGAACAAAAGATGTTCAAAATCATGTTCTGAACAATATGCAACCTTTCATTTTTCTCTAAACGTCCCCATTAGGGAGTTGAAGGGTTGGCCCCTAAATATTTCTTTTGCAAATAACTCGAAAACGAAAAAGAATCTCTGAATAGTTGTTGAACAAAAAGTATTCAAAATCATAAGATCTTTAAGACGAAATCAAGAAAAAGGGACTGTGAACTCAAATTAGGGGCCAAAAGGGGCCAAAAGTCTTTAATCGATAACTCTTTATCAGTTAATATTTTGTAATACATTACTGAAGTAAAGATGTTTATCTCAACCATTTACAACTATATATTATGATTTTTATGTCGTATGGTTCATAATTAGGGGCCACAAGGGGCCAGAATGCTAAATCTTTGACGCTTTATATCTCGAAAGAGAGAAATATTTTGATAAGTAATATTGAACAAAAGATGTTCAAAATCATGTTCTGAACAATATGCAACCTTTCATTTTTCTCTAAACGTCCCCATTAGGGAGTTGAAGGGTTGGCCCCTAAATATTTCTTTTGCAAATAACTCGAAAACGAAAAAGAATCTCTGAATAGTTGTTGAACAAAAAGTATTCAAAATCATTAGATCTTTAAGACGAAATCAAGAAAAAGGGGCTGTGAACTCAAATTAGGGGCCAAAAGGGGCCAAAAGTCTTTAATCGATAACTCTTTATCAGTTAATATTTTGTAATACATTACTGAAGTAAAGATGTTTATCTCAACCATTTACAACTATATATTATGATTTTTATGTCGTATGATTCATAATTAGGGGCCACAAGGGGCCAGAATGCTAAATCTTTGACGCTTTATATCTCGAAAGAGAGAAATATTTTGATAAGTAATATTGAACAAAAGATGTTCAAAATCATGTTCTGAACAATATGCAACCTTTCATTTTTCTCTAAACGTCCCCATTAGGGAGTTGAAGGGTTGGCCCCTAAATATTTCTTTTGCAAATAACTCGAAAACGAAAAAGAATCTCTTAATAGTTGTTGAACAAAAAGTATTCAAAATCATAAGATGTTTAAGACGAAATCAAGAAAAAGGGGCTGTGAACTCAAATTAGGGGCTAAAAGGGGCCAAAAGTCTTTAATCGATAACTCTTTATCAGTTAATATTTTGTAATACATTACTGAAGTAAAGATGTTTATCTCAACCATTTACAACTATATATTATGATTTTTATGTCGTATGGTTCATAATTAGGGGCCACAAGGGGCCAGAATGCTAAGTCTTTGACGCTTTATATCTCGAAAGAGAGAAATATTTTGATAAGTATTATTGAACAAAAGATGTTCAAAATAATGTTCTAAACATTATGCAATCTTTCATTTTTCGCTAAACGTCACCATTAGGGAGTTGAAGGGTTGGCCCCTAAATATTTCTTTTGCGAATAACTCGATAACGAAAAAGAATCTCTGAAAAGTTGTTGAACAAAAATTGATGAAAATCCTGAGAGCTTTAAGATGATATGCAGATAAAAGGCTGATCCCTAATATTAGGGGCTGCGAGGGGCCAAAAGTCGAATTTTTAAGTCCTTAATGTTCAATGTCTTTTTATAGATTATCGAGGCAAAATAGTTCTTCTTCACAATCTTTATCATTAATTTAGAATGAAAATCTCAATCAAAATCTCATCTCATCTCCTCAAGAATTGGACGGAAGACCCACTCGTTGCTCGCAACGAGATCGTATCTAGTTTATTTTATTTTTGATACAACATGTATTTTTATCTCTACTAATCAGATCTGTTATAAACAAATATCTAAAATTACAGTGTTCGTAATTAATTAGACGTTTCTGTAAGCGATAGACATTATAATTCATTATCCCAAGACCCCCTTCAAAATAAAGAAATAAACCGAAATAATCAGAAAGAAAAACTAATTAAAAGATTTAATATGTTACCAAAAATTAAAAAAAAAACGAAAAGAGAAGTAAAAACGGACACGAGGCTTGTATGTTCTTTTATAATTGCCTTTCATGTTATATCAAGTATACAGTATAAGTGTTTGGAATTAATTTGTTGAATGTACGAATTTATCTTCAACAACCTTATACATGTATGTACGATGTACTTAAAAAAATTGACAGAATTTATAATTTATTTTCTCTCAATTTCGGACATCAGGAACAAGCATCAAAATACTTTATTTTCAGTGATGGTTTGGTAAAGATTCTTAACCGGCGATAATTAACGGCATATCATTTTTTGTCACAGATACTAGTATTTGTTCTTGAACTAGTATGTAATATCAGTAAATGGACAGTTAACAGTGGACAGTGGATGGATGTTTTAAGCTTTGCGTCGATTCTTGCTCTTATCATTCTCTCACTTACAGGATGGTACTCTATCAGGGACTTCGCTGCTGCTTTACTCGGAATAATTGCTACTCCCTCGTGATGTCTACCATCTTTTCTGCCTGAGTAAATGATTACATCACCGCTGTTTGTCATGATCTTTCCAAAATCTGTCCATCTGCATTCACTTACTCCTAGTATGTGTAACTTGTTGTTCTTCATCTCTCTGACTACTTGAGTCTGATTTCCTGCCTCGTACATGGTACGGACATTCCAGAAGCCGATCTTAAGTTTTGTTCTCGTGCTCAGTATACTCTTCATGCGACCAGCTTCCTGTTGGCTTTCACTGGCTGCATTCATACGCGCAGATTGCTGCTGGTATTCTGATGCCTCGAGAAAGGATGAAATACTCCTAGTTCTCGTATCCGTAATCGTGTAGTTTTTACGAGAAGGGGAGATTACCCCCTTGCTCAACCTCCAACTTGGTGGACCAGGGATTTGTAATCAAGGTTGCCTTCCTCTAGAATATGGTTGCCTGCCACAGCTCATGAAGCCATTCTCTCCAGTTTTCTTAGATTTTCTGTCTGGATTTTCTTCCATAGCCTTTGACTTTCCCAAGTCGTCCACAAGGCAGTGGAACTATTTAACCCATAGCTGGAAACTAGGTTTGCAGGTATCAGGGCATATCCAAACGCCGTTGGGCCATGCATACCGTGCATTTAGGGGCCTAGTTTCCTCCAAGACCTTGTGGTTCTGCTTGGGGCCGCAAGGTACCCAATTTCGATCTGCTACCTCGAGGGGGGGATCCCATATCTGGGCCACATAGGTCTTATTGCGGAGAGGCTAAACCTGGCAGAGAAGACTTACTCTTTCGCAGCAAGCTGCTAGCCAGGGGTTGAGCTGAAAGCGAGCTTGACAAGCACAGACACAGACAGACACACACACTGTACGCATCACACAGCCATTTCGCAGACTATTAATCATATACACAGAATATAAAATGAAAAAAAATGTTAACAATCTAATTTTTCAAGGGACGTATATGGCAAGCCAAAATCACAAAAATGAGCAAAACATAGTTTCACAGTCAATAAACTAGGATTATTGGTTGTAAACTATAGTTAACAAAGTTAATCTATATTTTACATCTTTAAACTTTAGTTAACGCGATAATCTATGTTTTACAACCGTAAACTATACTTAACACCAAAAACAATTATTTGCTATCGCAAAACATAGATTATCTGATAAATACAGTTTAACGATTGTAAACTATGGTTCACAACTCTTAACTATAGTTAACGATCGTAAATTACAGTTTACAGATGTGAATCTATGTTTATCAACAAAATATATTGTTAACGTTTTATTACAGACAGATAAACTTAGATTATCATTCGTACACTATCGTTAAAAACCGTTAAATATAGTTTTACAGATTAAAACTATAATACATGAACACTGGTTCACATCCACAGTAGACCCAGCTGACATTTAGAGAATGATCCTTTTATGGTCTTTGTAACTTTCTGTGTATCATCACGCTGCATGATAACTCAAACAATTAATTCTCACCAAAATTCTTTTATTTCTTTTTCAGAAATACATTGCAATAAGAGAAAATCCACACCTCTAAATAATTTAACTCTTTCTCTATTTTTACTTGGTTTTAGGAGACCCTTTGACATAGCATTATCAGATTTATTTTTAACTTTCTTCACCTAGGAGAAAAAATAGGCCTAATGCATACCATTTTGTGGGGATCGTTTTAGAGATATTTAGAGTATAGATATAAATTATATTTCATGACCTTTCAGATACCAAACGACTGACCTAACCAGTAGACATGAAGGTCAAAGGTCAATTCATAGCAAAGTTTTATCGATATTTTTACATTTTAATCTCCAATCTAAAAATTTAGCTTCTTAAGATGGTAGAGTGATATATGTTGAAAATTGTAATTCGGAATATATGAATTTATACTGTAGTACATAAAACACATAATTTCTTTTAAATCTGCATATAATGACGTAAAATGGGTTGCTTAGCAACGGAGCATTTTTGAATTTTCACTCATTCCATACATATTTTATGTGTTCCTGCAAATATTAAAGTCAGATATGAGAACTATTTTAGGAGGACAAAGGTCAACTAAGTGTAAAACTTTAATTATTATTTTTTCAACAAAATTCACTATTCTTGCTGAAATTTTACACGATGGATGCTGAAATAAATAGTTTTGAATACACTCTCAAGAAGGCATCAGAACTTCAATATCCATGCACCATTTTAATTAAACTGTCTGTTAAGTGACCTTTTAATGGCTGCTAAGCAACAGCTTTTCAATTTTTGGCTGTATACATTGTATGTTTGCCTTTGCTCAATCTAGACACTTTGTATATCCCAGGACACTGTAAGTATGATATAAGCCAAAATAATGAAAAGAAAATTTAATTAAGTATTGACCTTGACATTTCTGTACTTATGGGAGTCAAGGTAATATTTGTTGTGAATTCTGTCCTAAAGTGTTAGTATATATGTGTTCAAAACGTACACATCTATTCAATACCGACATTAAGACATAAATTCTTTAGATAATGTAAAAGTAGAGGAAATTTTCAAAAATATGTTATATAGTTTATATACCTTTATGCTGTCATGAAATAGATACGGAGATCTTATTTTAGCGAAGTCGTGTTTTAATGCATCAGCGGTCAAATTGTCAGATGCAGAAGTAAAGGTGTTGTGAATATTTGAAGTACGAGGGGTTATCAAAAAGTTCGTGGACTGAGGCTATAAAATGATTGCTATGTAGTCTGTGCTTTCAAAATTATATGGAACATAAAACAACAAAAAATAAATGTTGAAAATTTCAGACCGATACGTTCATTATTTGCCAAATTATTATAAAATGATGACGACATTATATGATCACTCGGCGCTGTCGTCGTTTATTTTCATGACGTCAAATAACGTCATTATTTTTTAAAATGTCTGCTTCTTCTACCTCATACACTTTTTTGATGAGATTCCCTGGAGCTGAGTAAGGACTTCAACCCGCCTTGTTTATATGACTTTACAATGCCATGAACAGTGGCCTTCAATGAATATAATATTCCAAATGGATTAATACATTGGGAGAGATCCTCGCTTGATTGTGCCGGCATAGTTTGCTTTTGGGAGTTCAATATCCACAACACGTGATCAGCGTCATTTTTTGACGTGATTGATTTTTCACACCTTGACTGCAAATCGACATTAACCGTACATCCCTTTTCACCCTGAATCAATTTTGACATTAAAAAACAAGTACTCTGGATGCAAATTATTTCTCTGTAGACAGTTTCAATATATTTTAGGTCTATACTAGTTTTTTCAGGGGCAAAACTTCATAGAATATTGGAAACGGAAACCTCCTCCTCCTTTTGACGTCATTTTCAAGACCTCATTTGTTTGGACATCCCGTGTAAAATTTACAATAAAATATCATAGAGCTTTCAGAATAAAGTGGACATTTCTTATTTTATGGAACAACTGTGTCCCAACATTTATCTGAATTAACGGGATTTTTGTATGTCAAATGATCATATCAAAAGAGTTTTTCTCATTTACACATAGGTCGAAAAAACGTCGTTTTCGAGGTTGCGCCGCCTGGACATACCATTGCTTATAAATACATTTCAAATTTATTATAAAATAAAAATTATGATTTATGATTTATACTTAAGATAAAAAAGATGATGCTAACTTGATATTTCAAATTTCATTGATGTACCTAAAGCGGTTTTAATTCTATGACGCTAATCCACGAACTTTTTGATAACTCCTCGTATATCTTTTAAAATATATAAAACATTTGTCCTTAAAAAGACACTTATCAACAAAGACGATTTTGGTATTTAGAGTGTCACTGGGACTATAACATGAAGTTGGTCACATGATCAAATCCTACATGTATAAACCTTGAGAGAGTTAAAATTGAATGATTACATAACAACTTAATGTCTTTTCTCTATGAAATTCTAAAACAATGATATACATGTATTAAATTTCTTTTTACAATTAGATTTCTATTTTGATTTGAGTTACAAGGGAGTTTGGGTTTTCTCGAACTGTAACTGTTTTTAGTTCCTTTTAAGATGTTACAGGTACATGTAATGTATATATATGTACTCGAATGCTAGAAAATAATGCCACAGAACAGTATTTAACAAAAGAGTTTTACTCTTACTTAGGGACTCTTGTGAAGGAGAAAATGTCTGGAAGTGAGAGTTCTGATTATTTCAATATACCACATATCGAGCTAAAATTAAGAGCAAAAGAGGGTAGAGAGAAACAGATAAATATAGAAGAGAGGGGAAAGACCGAAGGAAAGGGTATATGTTATTCATATTATTTGATAAACATATTTCTCTGAAAAGAAATCTCATATTAAGAAAACCTTCTGTTTCTATGTATAAGTATTGCACAAGTATTCTGAAATTTGTTTTTAATGAAGATGCTAAGGTACTAGTATACAACTGACAAAATCAATGTGATCTGTATCTACTTAATTTCCAACAATCGTTTGGAACTCCTTAATATATTTTTGTGCCACTTTATAAGCCATGTTTGGTTAACTCATTTAAGCTTTAAAATCAATTGAGTTTATATGCTCTTCTGAGCCAATGAGCTCATGCTGCAAGTTAGGCCATTTGTGCCCTGTGCAGAAACGTTTTAGCATATAAGTCAGAAGTCAAGAACCCCTTGGCCCATCACTGTCAAATTTGTTCTATGGTATCCTTTGCCAAAGAGCTCCCATTTACAGTATACTATAACTAGGGTTGAAACTCTTAAATAAAGGATGTTAATCAGTAAAGAAATCAAAAGGTACTGGTTTCTAAAAAGATTCTCACTAGCCACAAGGCAGATTATCACCAAACTTACGTACAAGGATGAGGATATGTCGAAGATTAAGAATTATCTTTGGTTGATCAAATCTTGTATTTTGATGCATCTTAGGACGTCATATCCTATTAACTCAAAAGTAGGTCACGGTTAACCACTTTTTGAATTTTGAAGACATACCTTTTCAAATTGATTTGTAGGCGTATTTAGGATACATATGATCATCAAACATTGACAGTTGGTGCATCCTGGGTCCTCAAAACAACGCCAACTTAACGATGGGTCCCCTTAACCTACTTTTAAAATTCTATAGCTTATTGTTTTTAAAAGCATTTCATAATTATTTCTGATACTGAGACATTTAGAATCATCAAACCTTGCAGGTTGATGCATCTTGGGGCCCAAAAGCATATTTATTTCAAAGAAGGTCACAATGACCTATTTTAAAAAAATTTTATAGGCATTTCTTTTCATCTTGTATAAAGTGCATATTTTTGAAACTGTTCGGCTTATGATCATCAAACTTGATCAGTTGCTGCATCTTTTGTCCTCAGACAATGTGAATCAAAAATACGTAACAGTATGGCTATATCTAAAATATCTAGGGTAAATATTGACTTAGAATCATCAAACTTTGTGAGTTGATGTATCTTGGATCTTCGGATACCGTCAACCTAAATCACCAAATTTTGTTAGTTGATTCATCTTTGCTCTTTGGAGAACGTCAACAATAAAGTATGAAAATGTATCACTATATTTAAATTCTCAGGTACTTAAAAATTAGAATCATCAAGAATTGTTAATCGATCATTTTGGGTCCTTGGACAATGACAACCAGAAAGTACGTCACGGTGACCTAAGTTTGAAATTGATGGTTATCTTAAAATATTTCAGCTCCTTATTGGCTTAGAATCTACAATCTTTGTCAATTGATGTATCTTAGGTCCTTGGAGAATATCAAACAAAAAGTATGTTAAGATGACCTATTTAAAAAAATTATAGATATATTTGAATATTTCTGATTCTAATTGGCTAAAACTCAGGGTTTTCCATCGTTTTAAATTTTACTGTGTTGCAGAGTTCACGCGAAGCACTAACATTTTTCTGTATTTTCGCGATCAAATTCGCAACTGAACCACTATTCATTATAATTACAAAAGAATACATGCAAACACTTAAAAAAATCGCAAATTCGTTACACAAATGGTGTGGTCGTACATATTGATAAAAGTAAAAACACGCGTTCTGAAAAGCAGAGGAAATTCTGGTCGATACAATCGAACTACTTACCAGTTTTGAAAGTTAATTTGCCGTGATTAATTGTCAGTTTTTTAGATCACCGTATGCAACGGGTAACGCGGGGTGAGTCGCTAAAAAGTATGTGGGAGTCATTTTCAGCGTATGGTGGAGTCGATTTTCACCGCTTCGGAGTCAGAAGAGATGTGGGTCACGTCTTCTTTCGGTATAGATAGTTTTCGATAGGCCTGAATTTAGCGAAAGTTACCTCCCGTTGGCCGCCATATTGGAGGTCGACTCAGTGATTTTCCCTCTTTGTCTTACCAAGTTTAAGAAAATATAGCAGAAATATTTGGTGGAAATTCTTTATCAAATAATTTTTTTTAAATAAAGGAGGCTTCCAAAAATTTATATACTTCAGAAAAATAATGATTTCTAATTCAAAATAGCAAATATAAAAATTTTAAATTGGTTGAACAATGAAGGAATATGAGCATTTGGACCTCCAGTATGGCGGCCAACGGGAAGTAACTCTTGGTCAATCGAAAACTATCTATATGTAAGATGTATTTACAATTAACAAATAGCCCACGGAAGGTAGCAATAATTAAGCTCTCTGTTGGTCATTTGTCCGGCTAGCATATACGTCTTGTTTTCTCAAACACTTCGAAACTATTCGTCAGATTTCATATTTACGTTGATCGAGTGGTTAAAACATGCAAAGTTTGCATAATCTACGACTTCGACATGCATGGTTTGCATAATCTACGACTACGACTGTCAAAACTGCAAAAGCAAATGTTAATCTTTCAAAAGCAACAATTCAAACTTGGCTAGACTTTATAAAAATTAATAACCAAGACATTTTCTCTTCAGAAAGTAATTGTTACATGGGGGGGGGGGGGGGCTTATTTATGGAAAAACTCAACGCTAGTATATTATGTTATGGTAGTGTGTCAGTGTGATTTAAATAAACGGGTTTGTTGAAACGTACATTTGTTTTCCAGAAATGTTCGATTTTCATATAGAATGGGTTCAGATTCAATTGTTTTGGACAAATGAAAAGATTTCACATTTGCATTTACATCACTTAATCGTTAACTCGGAATAGAGACTTGACCCATTCATGTTCCAATTTCATTTTTTATACCTCTAATCAACCCACTTTCCACTAAATGTGCTCAACTGTTTACTTGGACAAAAAAATTGTCAAATGATAAGTCGTTCAGCAAAATAAAATGATAAAAATGTTTTGAAGATGACATCACTGAGAACATTATTTAAAAAAAAAACTTTTCCGTTAATTTTGAAAACTAAGAAGCATTTATCGCAGCACAGACAGGGGGATTGTCTAAGCCTTGTTCGTCTTCTTTCTTTGCTTCTTATCTCAAAACATTAAGAATGAACTGATTCTTGTGAACTTGTATACGTATTGCAGTTTGACATTCCCTTCAATTAAATCAATTGATACAATTAATTCTAATACAACTCCCTTTCTGGTTACTGCAGAAGTCATTTATGTGAGACGATTGGCCTTTAGATGTATTTGTTAATTTCTTTTAGGGTGAATTTTTAATTTTATAAAAAATAATTTCAGAACTGACCACGCCAAAGCTGTTGCCTATTGACCAGAAACCTTATCAGCTCAGGAAAAACGGAGAAGCTAAAGATAGGATTAAAAAACTAATTGAATCTCTAAACATTGAAACAGTTTTACCTCAACAATATCTAAGAAATCAGATGAAAACAACTGAATATCAGGACATTATTCAGAGAGTTGATTACCTGGACTGCTCAGGGCTAGATTTTAGAAATGCCGAAAAGCAACTGATTTGTTTTGAACCATTCTTTCAAACCCATGTGAGCGATTTTTTGGGATGGATTGTAAACTGTGACGCATTCATCCGAAAAACAAAGTCTGCGAAATCTCGATCTATTTTATCCATTTTATTTGCTGCACATACTAAAGATGCAATATTAGAATTCAAATCAAAAAATACTTCATCAATTATTGACATCTGCATGGATTACGCTATTGAAAATGGAAACCACATATTAGTTTTAGAGCTTGTGAAGTTATACATGTTTGATTTCAATTTTCATCTGCAAAATCGTTTTGATGGTAGGAAGATAAAATCAGTTGTTATCATGGACACGCTCTTGCAAACAGCTAAATACACGATTTTAAGAAAATGCCCAAGGCTTCGACAAAATGCAATCAGTCTATCATTCTGTTATGAATGCAGTCAGGAAAGTCGGCTTGTGATGTTGATGTCATACAAAGGTATTATAGAAATGAAAGATGGAATCCCAGGGAATGGCATGGGGATTGATATAGTACTGTATAACTATACACAACTATCTGATGAAGCAAATACTGTCTTTAAAACCACGGTGACTTCTGGTTTCGGGTTAAACTTACCTGTTATCACAGAAAAAGAAGCGAAAACACTTTTTAAGAAGCATTCCAACCTCACCCTTATATCAGTATCTCCATTTAAATCAACAGGATATTTAAAAGGAAAACATAGAATTGTTGAAAAAACTTGCATTAGTCTGTTGTGTCTACATAAAGGATATATTCCTTTCGGAGAAAGAGAGTTTCCAAAACAAATCAATGGGTTTGATGTAGATGTACAGGAGGGATACTGTTCTTTTGGAAGTGGTAGATCTATAGACTTCGGGGGACATATCCGTCGTGCCAAAGGAATAAATACTCCTGGAAATGGAAGCATTGGAGGTTTTGTTGATTTGCCAAATGATACAGTTGGTTTGATTACATGTGCCCATGTTGTATTTTCATCAGATGAATTGATAATACCAAATAGTGAAATTCAAAACTATGTACTGGCCAGAGGTATCGATTTAAACGTAGAATTTTTTGATAAAAATCATCATAATTTTCAAGTATGTGGCACCATTGTGGATAAATGTTTTCCATTATCATCTGATAACACTTCGGTTGATGCTGCTTTGATAAAACTTGATCCAACTGTAAACGAATATGGATTTCCTGTAACCCTTCCTGATCAACTATATTCAGCAGGTATGTTTAAGTATACTTTTTAAAAGATCTTGTGTGGATCTAGAGGGGGGTCAGGCGGTTTTGGAATTTTTTTTAGGTTTGGGTGGAGCCCCACACCCCGTTAAAATTTAAGGATCTGCGCCCATGACATATCATTAATTTAGATTCCCATTTTTAGTAGACAAAGGCGATAAAAGCTAAACCCCAGCGTCGACACTGCTATTCCAGTTAAAATTTGAGGAGAAAGTCCATTTACAAGTTACTACAAGCCTTGCCTAGACCAAACTTGCATGAATGATGCATTTAGGGATGGACACTACTGGACTTACCTCGGATCCTGTATTTTAATTACATTTTCCAGATGAATGACCATTAAGATAAATGTTTTGGAGCAGGTTCATTCCAATGTAACTATAAATCTACATATATCAAACTTGCATGAATGACACATCTAGAGATTAACATTACCGGACTTCTGATGCTCTATCTGACCAATATTTTCTAAATGAGTGACAAGGTCAAATTTTGGAAGATGTTCATTCGTAAGTAACTGCAAGTCCTACCTGGACCAAACTCGCATGGATGATGAATCAAAGGATGGATACTACAAGACTTGATTTGGATGTTACATCTGACCTACGTTTTCTACATGAGTGACCAGGTTAGATTTTTTGAAGCAGGTCCATTCTCAAGTAAATATAAACCCTACCTGGACGAAACTTGCATGCATAATGCATCTAGGAATAACCCTTAACGGACTGAAAAATTCAAATTGAATTCCTACAAAAGTTTTATTGCATGTGGCAAATGTGACACAAAAATTTTTGAAAAAAACATGTGTGACTGTTCCTGCGACAAGTGCAAAAATAAATTTGAAAGTCACATGAAAGTTCAGATAAGACCTAATATAAACTGAGGTTCTGTTTCATGGTAGATACAATGTAGGCGTGATAAAAATTATCTATTTAATGAATCTGAGTCCTGGGTATTGGTCTAAATTTGAAACCTTTAACTTTTGTATATAGTGACGCACTATGTATAAAAAAAAATCGAATGGAAAGTTAAACAATATACAATCATTCTATCAATTCAATGAAGGACCATGCGAACTTCGAGACCTTTAAGGATATGATAGTGAATGTAATCTTCACGAAATTGTAAAAATAAATCCAATTCTAATTTGGACTGAGAGTGCGAGTTGCTTTTGGTACCCTAGTATCTACCAATCTCAATGGTTTTTTTTCTAAGTTTTTTTAAGTTATAAAGTTTTATTAAGTTTCTGCAACTTCTATTTAAATTTTTCCTTATAAAATCTGACGAACAAACGATTTGATTTAACCATTAACAAGAAATACGTTTAAATAATTTTCCATGGAATCTGTCAACAATGTCAATGTATCGATCATAGAACTTAAGAAATGATGACTAAAAATTAGACTGCTGGATATTCTTGTTTCATTGTATTGAACAAATGAATTGAGCAATAACAAAATGAAATGTGTCATAAAAAATTTCTTTCTAATAATTCCAGGGTTTGATCCAAATAACCCCCCTGTATTTACTGGGGAGGTTGTTAATGTCCCAGATCCTACTGTAAGCTGCAGAATTCCTGGAAAACTAGACAGTGTCATCAAATACGGAAGTAAAACAGGCTTCACAATTGGAAATCTGTACTTTAATGGATCACATATTCGGTTTGTGGACGATATTGGAGAATTGCCGGATAAAACACCTGTTCATATGTGCAACCAAATTGAAATTCAAAGTCTTCCCCACGGTACGTTTTTTGAGCCTGGTGATTCTGGATCCTTTGTCTTCTGTATCAACCCTGACAAGACACTAAGCTGTATTGGGATGGCTATAGGTTCGACCACCAAAGGCTCCTGTTTTGTGACACCAATGACTAGAATTTTAGATTCATTTGGTCTACCGCATAGATTGAAGCCATGTTCTCCCCTTGCCTCTATGAACAACCCCAAAGAATCCGAATACCATTCTAATCCAGAGTTAACACAAAGTAATGTTAGCAGTATGCCTGGTGATAATTTAAAAACTATACTGTTGGAATTAAAACTGTCGATGACGAACATGCAAACGACTTTGACGACTATGCAAACATCAATAACAGAACTTCAGAATCAACAAAGGGATAATCAGTCTTCAGTTCAAAGTGAATTTGGAAACTTGAAAACAGAAATTAAGCAAATCAAAGATGAATTTCACACTAGAACTTCTGGGAGCTCGTCAGGTCACATGCAGAAATGAAAAGAGTCAAATGTTAGATATAAATACATGTACCCCCGAAGTGATTTTTTTTTTCATCGCACTTTATTATTGATGTATAGAATTATTGATCAATTATTTACCATTTATGAATATGTATCTATTTCTTGACATTTAATTACTACAATCCATCCTGCAATACAATGAAATTGTTTTATTAAAACAAGTTTTGTCATATATTTTCAGCATTTTTGTCACAATTTCAACGTGTTTAAGATGGTTTTAATTTCTATTGTATATAGATAAAATATTGCCGTATGTGTCATTTTGAGCTATCTTCAAATGAATTTGGAGATGGGAAAATTGAATGACGATAAAAAAGCTGAAGTCATCTTGATCCTTTGTTACAACTGTGTTTATTTAAGTGAGGGCTAATCCTTATCGTCTAAATCTAAACACCCGAATGTAAAAAAAAAAATTGACAAACTCTGTCCAATGGTGTCCTATAATTTCATTCAAGTTTACATGGGTTTACTGTACTTTCTGATTTTTAAGCTGTAACATTTCGAAAAATAATAACCAATAACTAATCGGACACTATGACACGTAGAGTCTCAGAACTACGACAGCTGTGCACAAAACACAAAAAAGACCGAAAAGAAAAGACAAAAAGTCATCAAATCCTGTAATGTTTGGCCCTTTGGCAAAGAGCAATATTTAGTCCTTGTTCTTGATACATTGCAGGGAACTAGTTATGTTACATAAACCAGCATGATTAGCATAAACATTCAGCTTTTTAAAAACAACATTAACAGTATCAGCATCAGCACGCAAAGGATAAAACAGCATTGACCTACTTAAAATCTGGATTATTCTCCTGGCAGCAGAAAATTCTAATCTCTATTCTTCTATATACAAAAGAAGACATAAGAAACCTAACCCTAACTTTTTAAATTATTCAAATTACTAATAATTAGTGAAATTATATGATTAAATAATTATAGAAGGCACATTTTTTGCTTGAAATGAAAATACGGAAATCCAATTATTTACTTTCGGTAGCATTGACCTTATTGTAAATCAGCATCAGTATTATAGTAACTGGCATTGAATCAGCCAGCAAAGGAAGCATAACAATCAGTACTTATACTGTATACAGTTTTCCTGAAAATAATAATCTATTAATTTTTTAATTTTTGCATTGAAAAATATAATTGTTCTTATCCAAAACCACACTACACATTTATAACAAAGTTTATACTATTGTCGCCCTTTGTTGTGCGTCCCTTTTAAACTGATCAGACGAACTTTTTTCATTCAGTTAAACTTCAAACAATCAAAACAAAACTGTATTTTCATATTATATGAAATATAACAGAAATGCCATTATCCATTAACATTGATGCATCAGTTTTAAATATATAAAGCGCGTTTACTATTTTTATATCTGTAACCCAATAGTGCTGTACCAGCAATATATATAACGAAACCTTTTTATATATACTTTTGATTATGTTTTCAAGTACATGTAAAGTACTGCACTTTATCGGTATAATCATACCTGCCTATGAGATGAGGTGATGTACCTGTAAATACGTAGTAACGTAGAAAAATTCTATAACAGAAAAAGTGTTTTGAGCAAAATTGAACGAAAGGTTTGGAGAGCGAAATCCCCAACATACATGTTTTTACTTACAAAATATATATAAAGCATTTTAATTATTTACAAAATATATAAAACACTTTTTGCAACTGTTAACAATATACCGATTCACTAATTACAGTTAAAAAAAACTAAATTGCAATTGAAATCTCTACTTTTAGGTGGGAGCCCTTTCGTCAACATTTTGCACGAATTTCTTGTGCACACAATATACATCATAAATATGTTTCTGATATCCTGTTTTAGCTAAATGTAGTCCACTTTGACTAAATCAAGTTTGAACATATACCCCTTTCCTTATTTATACCTGAATGGAACGGTTTATTTTCAGATGGAAATATCCTACTTTTTCTAACTAGAAATGTTTTCCAACAATCAGAAGAAAATATGGTCCCAGTCTTATCGTATCTCTTTGTAACTGGAATAAAGAAGCTGCATTTCTATTACCCACAGAATCAAAGTACACGCGTGCTAACATTTGTTCTCTCTATTTCTCTTACGGAATTCTTGTCTCGCCAATTTTCACTGATTTACTTGGTCATACAATTGTTTTTTTTTTCTGCAAAGTAGGTATGCACACCGTTTAACAGAACATCACCAGTTAATTATTGAATTTTTGCTGCCTAATTTTAAAACACTTGAAATTCAGTAAGTCATGAATGATATTCCAATATAATTAAGTTTCTGATTTGTTAAAGTAAAAGGCGTGGTTTTGAAAAGCGAGACCCTCCCCTTCAGATATTTTCTCATTACACTTGCAGTTTGTGCACCTGCACCGTCCTTTTTTAAAGTTATCTTCAAAAAGACGAAATGTTCCTTCTGTACAATTGTCAAACACAAAATTGGAGTCTGCTAAAAATGACTCGGCTTGAAGACACAGTTTAAGGTAACAATCTCCTGTTTTTGTAAACTTTATAAGTATCGTCATAGATATTTAGGATAAAATCAGATAGTTCCTGTTCACAACTTCATATGACATAACTTACTTTGTAACAAATCAGAAGACACGCTCGAGCCATGTACAGTATATCTATGGACATCGCAGGTTTGGTATTTGATCAAGAGCAAGGAAATAGTTGATTTCTTTTGGATAATTAGAAAATTCTAATTATTAAACTTCGTTAATTAAACAAAGAATATTGATATCAAAAAATTGATAAGGAAATTAAAGCAAATAAAAAAAAGTAAGGCATTTTTAAACAAGAAACGGTGACGCGTGACTCAATTTTACACAGTTATTTGTAAGTACCGGTACCGGGTTCTAAAATAAGTTGAATTGAATTCTCTCCCTGCTTCAACTTTTAACAAGGTTTGACTTAAAGTGACCATCCTTTTAAATCCTTATAAATATAAAATGTTTTCTTACCTTTACAAATTATTTATTTTAAAAGCATTATCTTTCAAAACCAATTTATTTACTAGGTAATAGTCATAAATTGTGTGTCTCAACATACTTCGAGCTATGGTATTATATGACTAAGAGGTCTTTATTGCTCCCCCACTTTTCTTAAGACTGAGCCTCGGTTAATGCTGCTCCATCCGAAAGACCTACGAAATATGAAACTTAAATGTTCGAATTTCATAAAAGGACTGCCCGATAATAAAGCCTCATCCAAAACCTTTCCATTTCAAAACAGAGACAAATTTTATTACTGTATTTTCATTACAATGTATTTATCATTAAATAGGACTCTATCTCTCATTATCTATTACCGATTAAGTGGAAATTTTAGCGAGACGCAAATTAAGCGATTGTCCTGAAAAACTGGCAATTTATTTTTAGCGAGATGTTATTTTAGCGATTTTAAAATGTACGTTAATAAAGTTATAAGAAATAAAATGCAATTAATTTCTAGCGGTATTCAATTTTAGCGATCTCGGCACGCTAGCTAATAACACCAAAGTTAACCTCTCGCTAAAAGTTCTACTTATACGGTATACATATGCCTGTATCAATTTCAGTAACATGACGGATCCGTACTATCTTGAAATTGAGTATATCAATAACTGCAGACCCTCGTTCGATATTTAATCTGTTCATATTTATACAGACTACAGCTCAGCACACTTTTTAAACTCACATGGCTTTTTCGCACAAATTAAGGTAACATCGTTATAATGCGAAAATTGTGTAATGTGACAACAAAATATATTTTGAAAATGACTTATAACTTAATTTGATCATATCCCATTACTTTAAACATATTTCACACATAATAATTGGTAGAATTTTATATGCTCTTCTTTGATATATTATGAGAGTTTCCAAATGTTTTTTTCCATGTTTCTCGTCAAATGCAACCGTCTTTATATCCGTTCATTTTAAAGCATACGTTTGCTTTGCCTTAATACAGAAACAGTGTAGTTCATGTAACTTCTGTATTTTCTGTACATTAATATGACATTAAGGCGCAAGAGGATAGAAGTATATCTCATTTGTTCGACTGCTTTTCATGTTAAAAAGATGGCATTTTTCAGGTTAACTTCTTGAAATCAAGTCTAGCATCATGAAAGATACCTTCCAACGCAACATTTCGAAGATTCAGACCATGAATGTAAAAGAATTCTCTTTTCGATATTTACAATTTACTTTGTTGAAAGATAAACAATACTTTTTTATCCTCTCCTTTTACACGATTTCTTTATGCAGTTTGGCATTTTTCGGCACTGAATTTCGACAAAACCAAGACAAGTATGGAAAATGTGTAAAGTACCTCGAAAAATACTTATTTTTAAATAGTAAATTTGAACATTTCAACCAAATAGTATCAAAGAGAGTTCCCTAAATTAATTTGTAAAAACCTATAATAGAATAATACACATTTAACATCATACAATTTATAAATAAATTTCCTTTTAGACCACTGACTTTTAAAACAAAAGATAATGATTTTAAAGAATGTGCACCTTTAACATGAAACACTTTTATACTATTGGGGTTATGTCTTGTACTGAAACTCGATAATTCTATGCTTTATTGCAATAAGAATGTGACTTTATTTTGTGCGGAAATCCATGTGACTTTCAAAAGTGCATTGAGCTGTACATCAAATTTTATCGATTGATGATTATACAGAACGGCGTAAATATGCAGAAAAACACTCTCATGTTTAATTTGTAATACAAAATTTTTTTCACAGAAAAAGTAAACAGGATTTGGCAGCAGGCAAAATCTATTTCAGCCATCTCTCATGTTTAAATACCTCACAGTAAATAGAACATACATGTATCTGTAATAAACTTCTTAACAGTACAGTAGAACAGTACTTAATTTTTAAACACACGCAACAAGAGAGCGAAAAGCAAGTTTAATTTGACTTTTAAGTAGTAGAAAAGGTAAAACCGTCATAATTTGCTTTTTTAATGTTTGTATTATTCCAAATTCCAAAAGTAATTTCTTTTTCACAACGTCAAATGTTTTCAATAGGTTTGAGTCCTAAGTAGAGCATCTGATGATACATGTACCCTAATGTAGTTATATATCCTGAACTTCAATTAATCAGTTTAGTATGAAAACTGCACACAGTTATAGCAAGTAAATCGTCCAAGTTGGGTTGATTTGATGCTATTATGTTTACACAGGGTAGATAAAAATATAGGATGAGTGTACATGTTCATATATATCATATAATACGTAATTTACATCAATATTGACAAGCAGATAGATACGGAGAACAATGGAACCCGATATACATACATGACAGCATAAAACAAGTATTTGTTAAATCTTTAATATTTTTTATTTCTTTTTGGAATGAAATGATGTAACCACAGGGTTATTCATTTTGAGTAATCAGTTATCTCCTTAATAGATTGGGTCATCAGATTCTCCATTCAGTTTTCTTGAGTGCATCAGTGCATCTTTGTGCACGGTCGTGCAATTCTCAAAAATCATTTAGAAGTTTTTATTTCAAGAATATTATCCAATCTTAATTGCTTTTGCTATGCAGCGCATATGAATAAATTAGAGACCAATGGATTTCTTGTTTAGATACATCAGACGTTCGGGTTGCATCTCCAGTTTCTGAGATCATCCCAGACGTCGCACCATTAAGCTTATATACGGACAGTAGTTAGCATATGACCTACAGGAGTGAAAACGAGTTTTAGGAAAATATTCTAGCGGTCACTTATTTTCCCGTCTGTTTTCAGGATATAGATGTATAACAGTTCAATAGAACTGCGACAAAAGAAAATCAGTTTGGTAGAATAAATTACTGTTATTTATATAACTGTGTCATTTATAAAAATTTCATGTATTTATTGTGTTTGACTAAATTCTATGTTCAAAGTGTGGAAAAAGATATATAAATAAGTTATCATGCAGAATATTAAAGAAACAGGTAAATTACATTTACACATGAAATTAAACCAAAGCTATTCAAGTTATCAATTTAGATAATAACATTGATTGTACAGTAGGACATTAATAACGTAGGCATTATTATAGTACAATGTTGTTATTTACAGAGAAATCTTCCTGACTAAGGAAATCAACACATAAATCTGTCATGTTATGAATCAACAGCAAAAAGACGATTTGGACATACACTGTGAATGATGTCTAGTTTTGTGTTACAGAAATATGTCAGAGTGAAAGGTGTTGTTCATTGTGATCACATTTCCTGTGTGACACCTGACCGGTTCTGGATTAGTGATGGTCAAAACAATCTCATCTTATCAAACACCGTGGATGATATGCTATATCATCTGACAGATATTCCAAGAAAATTTATGGGGAGGGCACACTGTGAACAGTGACTTTGATTTAATTTATATAGACAGGAATTATAACATCATTAAACTGTCTACAGAGAACAAAGTGAATCCTACAATAATAAAGTACAGGATAGCACCATGGAGATCAGTGTGTGTCCACAGCTCCCTTTCCACTGGAGACTTGCTAGTCGGGATGTATAATACTGATACAGAGACAGGTAAGGTAGTACGGTATAGCTCCAGAAGAAAAAACATCCAGACAATACAGCACGTCAAAAACACAGGTCAGGGGATGTATAGAGAACCTATCTACATCACAGAGAACTGCAATGGAGATGTTATTGTGTCTGACTATAACCATGCTGTAGTGGTGACAGATCGTGATGGTAAATATCGCTTCTCCTACACAGGACATCCATTGGGGTCACGAATACGACCACTAGGGATCTGTACAGACAAACAGTCCCACATTCTGGTGGGTGATTTTATCACTCGGTCTGTACATATCGTAGATGAGAATGGTCACTTCCTATTACAGATGTGGACAGTATATACTGTGTAGTACAAAAGCAGATATTATACAAAAATATTTTTGTGCCATAATTCATCATAAAAAGACTCCATATGATACAATTTAAAAACAATGTTTAGTTTATTCAGTGAATTATTGTCTCCTCTTTTCATATAGTGGATCTAATTTTTAATTTGTTATTTTTTACGTATTTACTTTGTATTTTTAGCATACTTGTAATTATTAAAAGCAAAACAATAAGATAATTCCTGTCATCCAGTTAAATAATTAAAATAATATTTATTGACATATATATTAATCATATGAATTTAAAGCTAAACACGATTCGTGAAAGGAATGTGTCCGCCATCTTTGCTCCCGATTCTTGCCACTCTGCGGATCCCTACATAAAGGGCAGGATTTGGTCACTGTGCAGTGTAATCAGTTGACGCCGTTGTAGACGGACGTATGCTACACAGCACTCGGTAGCGAGAATAATTACGTAATACTTCGTCTAATGCAGGAAAGTAAGATACCAAATTTTACAATTATAGTTGTACAAGTCAGTGCAGTATACAAGATACACATAACTGGAATAAAATGTAAACTAAGGTAATGCAAGACAACCAGCACGAACATTGGTTGCCATTCCACGATGATAACCGTCACAATATAGCAGTCAGGTGTGACGAATGCGACAAGTATACCCTAGTGTTGAAGTATAGTAGATAATGATATCGATAATGCCGTATGCCTATTTACGAGTCATGTTCAGCTTTAAGATGATTACAATGCACATAAATACATGTATTTCAATATTATACATGTATGTCATAATTGTTTTTAACAAAATCATACAAAAAAAATTACTGGAATATTGGAACTATGCATGTCCATCATATTGGTTCATACATGTAGAACTTCCAGTAATTACCGCGTGTCTTGTGAAAATGTGTTTTGAATATTTCATTGTGTGAATTCATTTATTGTGCAAATATCCTTCGACTTCTGGAGTATTTAAATTTGAATGGATTTTTTTTTGAAACCCTGTATGAAAAAAAAAGCAGTTAAACTTCTTCATTTTACTCACAGATGCAAATTATGATTTTCCAAGGTAGGTCAAGGCCATTATAGACGATTTAAGTTTTATCTATGTATTTCAAATAGTTAGCTTTAAAAACCATATGAGGGACAGTGAAACCATTAACAGTTATTGATGTGAAGCAACCTTCCAGGTTTCCATACACATGTAGTGTAATTAAGTTTAAATCATGAGCCCATGGATAGGATTGGGTCATTATGAGCAATGATCAAAGCTTGAAATAGAAATATATAAGAAATACCTTTTAACTTATTCTGAAATATACAACTCGTTTAAATAATCCTTTTGGTAAGTCCTTTGATCAATACAATGACCTCGTCAGAAAATATAATTTATCATTGTCGATAGACGTTTTTCATACTTATTGTTTGTCCATCATTTCTATCCTGAAATGACGACGAATGTTTTTATTATTTCCAAATCATGACAATGAGAGCACATTGAGGGAGTGACCGGTCAGCAGAGGATGCTCACCCCTCCATGGCACCTGATCCAACCTTTGATATTTAGTATGTCCGTGTGTGCTCTGCTTCTATTTTATATTGCTTTATGGAATTTTGATCTTGAATACTCTTCATTTTCTCCATATGTTTCACTACAATAATTATTTCGATTTTTTTTCTCCTCAAAGGTAAAACTAATCTTTAGCCCCCCCCCCCCCCAAATTATTTCAGATTCTTTGAAACTTGCAATCTTTCTAAATTGTGAAAGAAAACACAGACAACAACAAGTACATGGATATGTTTTAATTACAATTAATTATAATTATCTATGAATTTAAATTAAAATAATTTGGGTTAGAAATTGACTTTGTGCATATATAGTGAGTAATGCATGTGTTAATAATTTCAAAATTCAAACAGACAACAACAAGTGCATGGAAATTTTTTAATTACAATTAATTATAATTATCTATGAATATAACCAAAATAACTTGGGTTAGAAATTGACTTTGTGCATATATAGTGAGTAATACATGTACTAATAATTTCAAAATTCAAACAGACAACAACAAGTACATGGATATGTTTTAATTACAATTAATTATAATTATCTATGAATATAACTAAAATAATTTGGGTTAGAAATTGACTTTGTGCATATATAGTGAGTAATACGTGTACAAATAATTTCAAAATTCAAACAGACAACAACAAGTACATGGATATGTTTTAATTACAATTAATTATGATTATCTATGAATATAATTAAAATAATTTGGGTTAGGAATTGACTTTGTGCATATATAGTGAGTAATACATGTACAAATAATTTCAAAATTCAAACAGACAACAACAAGTACATGGATATGTTTTAATTACAATTAATTATGATTATCTATGAATATAATTAAAATAATTTGGGTTAGGAATTGACTTTGTGCATATATAGTGAGTAATACATGTACAAATAATTTCAAAATTCAAACAGACAACAACAAGTACATGGATATGTTTTAATTACAATTAATTATGATTATCTATGAATATAATTAAAATAATTTGGGTTAGAAATTGACTTTGTGCATATATAGTGAGTAATACATGTACTAATAATTTCAAAATTCAAACAGACAACAACAAGTACATGGATATGTTTTAATTACAATTAATTATGATTATCTATGTATATAACTAAAATAATTTGGGTTAGGAATTGACTTTGTGCATATATAGTGAGTAATACATGTACTAATAATTTCAAAATTCAAGCAGACCCTCCAGAACAGAACATGAAATGTGTGAAACATCCCACAGATACAGCAGACAAATATGATATGGACTCTAATGTTCCAGTTTTTATGGAATGTGGCATGTCTAAAGAATAAATAGGGCATAAAAACAAAGGAATTCAAGAGATAACAGGTTTGCTAAGTTACTTGTAATGATATGATATTCTACTGAAAATAAAAATGAATTTTCTTTTACTAAGGTACATAATTAATTAATGTTAGAGTTTTACTGATTTACCAAAGTAAATGCTATTTTGGTCAGACTTGTTTGAGGTGCATACTAGTATACAAATACCTGTTCATACTGATGTGTCTGCTTTTATCTGTCATGTCATATCATGAATTGGGAAGCTAATGAACATTAATTAAGCAATATTCACATAGGTTTCTTGTTTTTTTCCCTTTACTGTCCAATTAAACTTTGAATGTACTATTAACTAAGTTTAAATTTCAGTTCTTACACTTTAAAATAACTTTTTGTGTTAAATTACTTATGCTACCGGTAATTATGAATAATTTACTCAGTCACAGATGTCACAAACACTGATGAGAAAAAGATGACAGGATCTGCTTTCTCTGTTTATCCTCTCAAACATTTACAACAACGCAGAGAGAAACAGGTTACAGTTCCCAACGACTCTGAATCATTCATATCTGTGAAATTCCAAGAAACAAAACAGACAACAAAAGAGTATGAAGAAAAGATAAAAATTTCCAGTATGTGTATTTGTATGTGATTCTCATATAATTTTATATTTACTTAATTTTTCGGATACTCTGTGTTTTGATTGGACAAGAACGAATGCAAGAAAAAGTTTACACTTCAGACAGTCAGAATTACTTTTTTATCTTTACTAGCTGCTCTTGTAAAAAAAAATATGGGGGGGGGGGTTACTTTTGGTCTCTTTTAACCGGCGACATATAGGACTAACAGACGGGAATATTATAGTTATGTCACCCAAATCTTATTCTAATGCTTCACACTTTATTTTATCAATAAAAACGCATAAGTTAACACATCTATAGATTCTGCAAAAAGAACGTGTACCTTAGGTCTATATTATAGTTTATGCTTTACTTTATTGAAACCTCAAAACTGCGTATTGATCTTCATGCTTTCAATAAAGTAAGATTCATGATGAACTTTTGAGGGTATATCGGTTTGACTGCTCTTTTACTTTTGTATTTCTAAGTATTTCTTATTTGAGAATTTAGAGTTGAATGTAACATAAATGTATATATTTTTTTATAGAGTAATTTTAACTCTTCTGGTCAGAAACCAGATCATTGCCAATGAAAAATTTCAAGTCCTAGTTCTACTTTTATCTTCGTTTGTGTTAAGTACAAACCAATAGGGCTACAAATTTGTAAGAGACTACTTGTTTCAATGAATATTTCATTCGAATATTGTCTAGATTGATTGATTGATTGTATACTGTTTAACGTCCCTCTCCAGAATATTTCACTGATATGGAGACGTCACCATTGCCGGTGATGGGCTGCAAATTAAGGCCTATGCTCGGCACTTACGGCCTTTGAGCAGGGAGGGATCTTTATCGTGCCACATCTGCTGTGACACGGGGCCTCGGTTTATACGGTCTCGTCCGAAGGACCGCCCCATTTAGTCACCTTTTACGACAAGCAAGGGGGTACTGAGGACCTATTCTAACCCGGATCCCCACGGGGCCGATTATTGTCTAGAAATTAAAATTTAATGATAAATTGCTTTGCCTGTCTATTTAACAGCAGCCTAAACAATAACATCTCAGAAATTAAACTAGATACTTGATTAGAAAGATATTGTTTTCAGAGGTTTTCTGGAGTATTGCATGAAGTTGTTCATTTGATCAAAAAATACAATTTCCGAAGAGCAGATTCGATCTGAAGGGTAGATTCAATCACATATCAATTTCAAGTTATATTCAATTGAAATTTTATTTCTAGTTTTCCAATTTTGTAATGCTTGTTGCTTTTAAGAAATAACATGATTAAAATATTTTTTTACTGTTTGCATAACATATAATATTAATTTGCAATAGAACAATTTGTAATTTTATATACAGTGTATTCTTAATTGAAATAAACATTTCTTCAACTCTTGCTTAGGAACTCATGAAAAGGATAATGAGTCCAGGATTGGGAGACTTTCTGGAACTGGGAGTCTTGTAAAGTCTGCGACTAGGACTCTTTCTGGGACTAAGAGTGTTTCTGGGACGA